AATTAGCAAAACTCATACATGATTTAAATATAGCTACTTGAGCTGCTTTACTGATCGTCGTATTATTAACGATAATATTTTTATACCTTAGTATTATGTGCAGATGAAGGTGATTATGTAACAATGAGAATTGGGAGAGGCTGTGTTTGCACCTCTGGGTCTTGTCCTCTTGGTGTCCGTTACTGTCTCGGCTTCCATGGCTTCTCAGCAATCTTTACCTGCTGTCTTCTGGCCTCACCTAGTTCACCCTGGGACTCAGTTCTCAAAGTGGATTTCAAGTCCCCAGGAAGGCTTTGAAATGCTGCTTTCTCAGCTTCTTAATCAACAGACATGAGAAGGAGCAAGCAATGGAACGGGCTCCCTGGGGCCACCCCTGCGTTCCACCTGGGAGGTTTCCCACTCCTGTTTACCCACAAGTCAAGCTGGCTGCAGTGGAGCTGCAGGCCTCAGCATGAGGAGCACCCTCCACCAGTGTTGGGAGGGCCTTGCGGGTGGGGTGAGCGCTGCTCTTCAGAAGCAGAGTCTCTTTGTGATCCTTTTTTAAGAGGTTTCCTTCCAAAGGGTTCCTTGGCTTGCAAACCTCATTACCTTGGCAATCTTTTAGAGTGCTGACTTTGTTTGCTTTTTTTTTTTAATGTTTTTTAATGTTTTTACTGCCATTTTTCTTCTCTCTCTCTCTCCCCTCCCCACCCTCCCTCCCTTTGGGGGAGTGTGGGAGGGGGAAACTAACCAGCATCTGTCTACTTGGACGATAGTTTATATTTGCCAATAATTTTAGAGTAACTTTATTAATACTGAGTCATGTTGATAAAATAATTTTTCTTGAAAAATGTAAGACTGGGTTCTTTTAAAAATCAAATCATTACACATTTGATAAAATATTGACAAAACGATCATGTAGTAGCTTATGTTGTAGTAAGAGAAGACGAATATGAATCAAAGCACCTAATTTTTTGGTAGAAAAATCATTACCAGAATCACAGAGACTATATTTCAATAATCATGTTTTTGTAAAAATTGAATCATGTGGAATGGTTAATATCAATGTTACAAATTATCTACAAAGTATCCAACGGAATTTGCAGGAATTTCCAAGCAAGGGTCATATTGACTGCTGTATTTAAGTTCTATTTCATCGTATGATTATCTCAGCAGTATCAGAAGAGCGAGAAGACGGGGCAGGAGGAAGGGGCAATGAGCGTATTAGTTCTTTTAAAACCTGTATCTCCCCAGTTTACCATGAGTTGTGGGCTTCTCCCCTTCCCCCTCCCCCAGTCTCTCTTTGGCAACCAGTGTGCTTAATATCAACAACTGCCCAGTGTTTTGATTCTCTCTTCTCTTGCCTTACTTGACCTTAACTCATTTAGTTCTTCTGTTTTTATAACTGTTCACTTTCTGATTCCTTAGCAATAACTTCTTATTGCTATTATTGACATCTGATGAGGAGTTGTACCAGTGAATTTTCTAATGTTTAGCTTATTCAACAAACCTTTTTGGGGGGTGAGCCCCATCCTATATGAAATCGAGAGAAAGAGAGAGGTGCACATGTGTATGTGTATATATGTGCACACACACTTTCAAGGATATCAAGATAATCAGAACCTCAGAGTGACTTGGGACCTTTTATCTTGATACGTTAAATAACTGGTGTCTAGTTAAGATGATATATTCCTTAGGAATTTGGCCAAAGTTACGTGTAAAACTGAGCTCATTATCTTTATTTTTATATATACTGTACTTAAAGAATTTTTTATACAGTTTGCTTGGGTGTTTTTAATAGAAAAAAATGCATGTACTAAAATGTATTTTGAAAGTTTTTTTTAAATGGGGGAGATATGCATATACTGATAAGCAGAGGGGAAATGTAACATGGAAATGTTAGAAAAATAGGGAATTTAGGAAAGGGATTGAAAGGAGAGAAGAGGTGGGACTGATGTGAAGTTGGAGGCCTGGAGTCCAAGGAGAGAGCACAGCAAGATGTGACTAACTTCCAGGGACATTGAGAGGAAAAGGCATCCTGCAGGCACATTGTCAGAGGTGGTTTGGGGCTGAAGCTCTGCCAGGGCTCTCAAGGTGTCCATGACCGAAGGCCATGTGCTCTCTGCAAAACTGAGATAGGTTGTCCTTCCAGAGGAATATAATAGAAAGTAAAAAAGATGTTCTATAGATTACCTACCTTTGTTGAGTATTGACTGTAAAAATACAACGTTTTTATTGGGAAAACGCATTAGAATTTTAAGTATGTAAAATCAAACAATATTGATAGAATGGTGTGCTTTAACTCATTTTCCCCCTCTAGACATGATTCCTTTCATGACTTGAGGCTATTTCTGAATGTTCATGATAGGAACAAAAACCTGAATGCTCTCTCTTCATCCTGGTTCCTATTGGTCACTTTTTAAATTCTTGTAACTAAAAGGACAGATGTGTGCATGGGAAACAAGCTGTTTTCTGATATTTCGTAGTCTTTTATCTTTTTATGAGGCTCATTTTCCCACTGCCTAACTTGTATGGTTTTTTTATACCCACATGCTCCTTAGCCATGGGTTTCCCATTTGAATGATGAAGCTCTTGACCTTGAACATTTTTATGGACTCTTCTAGGTCTTCGTGATGTTCAATAATGGCTCTGGGACCAACTTGTTCCCATTGGAATTTTTTTTTGTCATACTCTCATAATTATACTTGCATCCAGTTTCTCGCTAGAACCAGCCTTATCTTGTGACATCTGTGTCTTAGTCATTCCTGTCTTCTTTATGTAAAAATCTTCAAAGCATTTTTGTTTTCTTTAACTTATTCTCCTTGAGTTGACCTATAATCAGTGATCTGGCTAATCAGACCTTCCCAGAACATCTTCCTTTTCCATTTTCTTAGCCACTGCCTAAATTGTATGGTTTTTCATTTTTTAATCTAATATTCTTGTCTTCATTTACTACTTTTCCCAAACCACCCTGTTTATCAGTGACCCATTCATATTCCTAGGATTTATAATTTAATGGGCTAAGTGCTTACTTGAAAAATTTCAGTGCTTTGCTATTATCATATATGAGATCAAGTCCAAACTTTTAAACCTGTAAATGTATTTTTCTGTAGTTTATATTTCAATTTTCTTTTCAGTCCCCTTTCCTAGCAGTTTCATGAGCTACTATTTTCTTTTCTCTGCTCCCTTCCTTTCCTCGTTCATTTCCTTTTTAATTCTTCCACTCTTTAATTCACATACTCATTCCTACTCTTGCGTTTGACCCATTTATGATTCCCCCTCGAATCCGAGGTTCTGTTCTTAGTGCTGCAGGCATCACAGTGAACCACACAGACCTGCGAGCCTAAGGCTCCCTCTTTCTCAGGGATGGAGCAATTGGTGGAGCAATTCCAGGTAGGGCCAGAGAAGGCAACAAGGCTACCATGCTGCTCTTCCCATTGCCTATTAGGACATTTATCCTAAGTCTCTAATCAAATCTTTCCTTTTACCTAAGCTTTCAACCATCTCACCTTTCTATATTTTGAATAATTCATGTACGTTTTATACAGTTTCCTTGGGTGTTTTTAATAAAAAATGCATGTACTAAAATATGAGTACATTGCATTTACATAAACATGGTTGAGGAAGATCTTAGTTCTTTTTCTCTAATTGAATATAAGTTCTTGGAAGGATTATTTATTGATAACTTTGTATTGCTCCAGTGCCTTGTAATACTTCACTCTAAGTGTTTTGATTTCATTGAGTTGCCTATAAAAATGAAGAAATTTATATAAAATACTAAAAAATATCAAGATGTCATACACATTAAAATTTCAAATGCCAATCGCAGGTCTCTTTTTTCTCTCTAGCACAGCCCTGGTTTCCTGTAATCAGAAAAGAACTTCCGGTGTATACCACTTTTTCCCCCAATAACTAATAGTAGAGACAAAAGACACATTTATTATACAGAGCCTTTCCTCAAAAATAATCCATCTCATTCTCATCCACAAGGACATTTCTATAGGATATTATAGGACATGGGCATATTTCCATATCAGATTTGTTTTTAGTCTCAGTGTTTGTTGAAGGAGATTAATCACTTCCCTCAAGCAAATAACTTTATTGATTTGACAGCTGTCACATGCCTGTTTAGTCAGGGTGATATCATCCAAGTACTGCATATGAGAAGAAAAAGAAAATAAGACCATCGCGTAGCATGGTTGGTTGACAGGATAAGGAGAAGGCATCCCAAACTGACCAGCAACTCACCGCAAGCAACTCACCGCATATTTTTCAGTGCCAAAAATGAGTTCCTGAAAGTTGCAGAAATGACACATGAAGCAGCATTCTATTCCTCTTCAAGTCATTTTATAATAATCAGACTCTGGGCTGGATGCTTTCTAATAGGAGTTAACAGTGCTTGTAAAAAACCTGTCTCTGTGGAGTGGCTATTTCCTGATTTCCCTTAGAAAAAATGCAAATGAGGTCTAGAAGTAACTGTGGATTTCTCATGTAGAAAGGACTGAATGTGTTTAACAAGTCTAATTGTGGGGCCAAAATAGAAACCCCAGGGACAGGGAAATGGAAGGCCTAATTTGAAAGAAGGCAAATGGTGCCCCTGTGCTTTGTCCTTGCTCTGAAGGGGGGCTTTTGTGATTTTGCAAAGTCTTCAGCCCTTTCCAGGGAAGTGGCACAGGAAATGGTCTTGTTTGCAGTCTGCATCCCTCTGCTGAATCCTATGAATGCTGGGTTATTTTCTACCAGGCCCAGAAAACGCACATCTGGCCTGTAAATCACTACCATGCCTGGATGTCTTGCTTTCCTCTTTCCCGGGTGTTCACCCTCTGTGTTTCACACATTCCCAGTGTGGGTCATGTGACATCCTGGGGAAACCTCCAGTGGCCCCTAAATGATCACATCACATGAGACTCCCCAGTCCTCCCTGGAATGTAATGCTTGCTTCTGCTGTGCCCTCTCTGTGGTCCCCAGAGGAAGAATCATTCATTTTTATCTTTTTATGTATTTATTTTTTTCCTATTTAGAAATTGGCCCCTGGTTACGGGAGTTCAGAGCGAAGAATGCTGTGGATTTCTCGCAGTTAACATTTGACCCAGGACAGAAAGAACTTGTTGTAGGAGCAAGGTGAGAGATGTTATGTTTTGCCACCAAAGTTAATCTATGGACTTCACTTTGCATCTGTGTGAGTTATATGTGAGTCTCTTTGCTGAAACTGAAGAGCGCTGTTTAAGGTGATTTCATCTCACGATGCTGCTGCGCAGGGTGAGTGTCATGGAATGCCCTGCTAGTGTGAGCAGGGGTGTGCTCCTCATCTCACGTGTTGACTGGACCCTCCCTGTGTGTCTCAGACCTGGTTTCCCCAGATTAACTCCTCTGTTCCTCCCACCTAACCTGAGAGGGGGTGGTGTCAACCTCCCTACTGTAGAGATGAGGAAACTGAGGCAGAGAGCAGAGAAAGATGTTGTAATTTTGCATGTGCCTTAAAAAAAATGGAGCCCCGTTTTACACCCAGGCGGTTTGGCTGCAGAAACCATGTTCTTAATTCATCACTACATTATTCTGCAGAATTTCAGAGGTCAAAATGCCTATGAGCATGCCACGAGGTCCCTCATGACCTTTCTTGATGACCTTGATCAGACCTTTATCAGTACATTAAGAATTCAAGGAAATTGTCACTCTCATTGCCCCTTAAGGAAGTGTGTGCTCCTGTATCCAGGTCAACACCTGCATACAGCTGGAGGGTGAGGCCACTGACACATCAACAGATTTTGAGCTCTTTCCCTCATATTTGCTATCACCTCCTTAGAAGATGTGCATGGACCCCACATCCAGTTATCTATGTCAGTATAATTTGAGGATGATATACCTACAACAGGTTACGTCTATCTCTTAGGAAAATGAACATTAAACTTGAGAAGGCAATGTGCAGATTTGGATTCTACTGACATCTTAAGAAGTCTGTACGGCACTGGAATGGATGTATCTTTTCAGCCAAGTTTTTAGATTATGCAGTATACGTTTTATAGCTACAGAGGTCGAACAGCTCCCACACTGACCTGAGTAAAACTAAATCCAGGGTACCCTCAGGGTATTTGTGATAAATGCTGAGAAATTTCTGAATCGTTGCGTTTGCTCTCAGATCTTATAGTCCCCAACTTTCACTAAATAGACACAGGTTGGCTTACTTCATGCACTGGACAGTGGTCCTCATCTCTTTGGATGGTTGTGGGGAGACCATGAACCTGGACAGGATTGCTTGGTTTACTCTGCCAGGATTTTCAAAGCTGACTTCACCAAACCACAGTCTGGGTGTATTGCAAGGGTTATAAATGGGTCTCTCAGTCTCGAGAAGCTCTCTTCTTTCTGCATGCTACAACATAGCATGTTTTCTAAATGCCTGCCTGCAGAAGCTCTGTGGGTAGTCCACCCTGTGGTCCCATGTCCCTTAAAGTCTCATCTCGTCATTCTCATGTAGTCCAGGCATGTGGAATGATTTAGGTTTCCCATGGCTATAGAACATGGTCTTTCTTGATTCTGAAATTTGGTGACCTTGTTTTATATTTTTGGAATACTAGGTACCCACCCACTCCCACCCCAAATTTTCTGCTTTGGAAATTCCTCCTCATAGTGAGGACCCGGCTCAAGACCCTGCACTGATCCTGAGCTGCCACATCCTGCATAGGATGGCCCCGTTGACACACCAGGCATCCACTTTGTCACTGTACTTCTTTCAGGGCATCACATCATATCCTGACAGCTGTCACCTCCTACCTGGACAGAAAGGGATGTGCCAATTCTTTGTTTCTTCCTCCTTGTGGAAACGCAAAGATCTCTGTTGGTTCAACATATTTATTTCTAGGATTTGACTTTTATGTGCTCTTTTCTCATCTAGGGAACACAGGAGCAAGAGGGCTGAGAGTGTGGTCTATTTATTCCAAATGCCTACATTGGGGTATGGTCATGAGGGAGTTTCAGGCTCTGTACCCCAAAGCCTGCCTTTAAGGAAAATAAGCTCTGGCCCCAAGTCAAGGGTAAGAGGCCCTCTACTCAGGAAGCAGGAACAAATGTGAGCCCAACTAGCAGTGCTGAGTCTTGCATCCCTCATTCATTTGTAAAGAACTTTGGAAAGGCTTTTTCATTAGTGTGGCTCAAAACACTGTCCATGGTCTCTGGAGGTCCCCTTGTGAACAGATCAGCACTCCATACTCTGCCAGTGGTTGGCTTTTAATCAGTGACAAAGATTCTCTCAAGGGATATAGGAAGCCACTGAATAAATTTGGGGATTGTGAAGGACTGTCTTATGTGCCTGCCTTGGCTACAACAGCAACTGGGAATTGTTCCCAAGGGAGACTTGTCCCTGGAGGTCTCCATCCAAGTACCTCTGGGGACTGCCATCTCATATCACCATGGTGCCAGCTCATCCGTGTTGGGAGGAATTGTACCAACCCCCGAGTCACCCTAGCATGCAGTATGGTGTAGTGGCCAGGAACACGTGGGGTTGCCAGAAACCACCCATTCAGAATGCAGGATGCCCAGCTGAACTGAACTTCAGATGAGGAATAAGCGATTTTAATCCTATGAATAACCCACGTGTCTGGCAAATAGTGTGTGTTGCATTGTGACTACTTGGCAGATGACAGAAAGAAAGGAGGGACCCTGCTTGCCTCACAGAGCCATCCTGAGCCAGATCCAGAGCACAATTTTCCCATCTTTAAACTTGATATGATAATTTCCACCCCTTTCAGCTGTTGTGAGGATTAAGTGAAATAATCCGTGACAAATGATCACCACGTCAGCAGGCCCCGGGAAGGCAGCAGGACCTGGAGAGCCCCGGGGAGCTGTGTGCATTAGTGTGCACATACGGTTACATTTCAGGCAGAGACGGCTGAAGGAAGAGAATAGAAATGTCACCGAGGAAATTTGGTGGGATTAGGTTCAGAAAGTTTGAGAGGGAGTATGAACCAGTTGTAAAACTTTAAAAATAACCCAGCCCTCAGATTCCTGTTTGGGAAGGTTTGACCTAGCAAAAGAAGTTTAGATAACAGGTGTGTATTTCAGAAATCAGCAATGGCTTAAAAATATGAACTGCAGAAAAGTAGAATGATCCTTTTTTTTCCCCATAGTTACCACCAGGTATTGAGAAACCGTTTATTGGATGGTTTCACTTTATACCACTGATACTTTATGTCCCTGAAATTGAATTCAGCCAAAGATTCTTTGCACTCTTTTATAAAGGGAGTTCATTGTGCTGCAAAAGAAAAACTTCTCTTAAAGAGATCTGTGGTTATGTAGCACCAGAAGTTACTTGAATTGGAATTCATGCAGTTTCTAGAAGGACTCGTGAATTTGCCATTTCCAGGGTGCATGCTCACTTTCATATCAGGGTAAATGCATTGACCTTCATATTCTGTTTTAATGCAGCCTCTTTGAAATTAATATTCTGTGTATTTTCAATGATTAAACAGGCATCTTTCTTTTAGAAAATGTGGAAAATACAATACAGCATAAGGAAAAGAGTTTCAGAAATAATCAGAGTTAAATATAGTTAGTGTGTCCAGTTTTTTCCCCATATTATTTGATTTCTATTTGTTTCTATTCCTGGGATAATATTCCTGTCTACTTTTTCATCACAAAACCTCCTGAAATCAGTTTCCATGGTATAATGAAAAAAAAATTCAAAGAGAAAGAATGTGTTATAGCTTAGAATTTTAGTTTTGATAATTATGAAAGTACTGACAGTACTAATGCTCCACCAATTGGGTAAGAGTCTACATTTTGCTGTAGATAGAATTGTAGCAACAGATGTCAGAGAGGGTGATAACATTTTTATTCCCAAGTGAGTTGATCTGTAGCATTTCAGGTTCATCCTAAGGGTGACAAGTGATTCCATTCCAAGTCACTCTGATATGCACCACAAAAAGCCACACAGTGTGACGGAAAACAGCCACGGCACGGATCTTTGCCTCTGAGCCGCGGGGAAGGTGCTGACGCCCACTTGTGCTCATTCAGATACTTTTCTTCAAGGTGAGGCTTGAAAAAACACTTCTTAATGTCAATCTCCATTTTGAAAATGACCGTTTTTTTCGGTCGTATTGGTTTCTTGCACTATTAGTTATTTTCTGCAGGTAACTTTGTTTCTGATGCTCTTACTCTTTTCCTACCAGCTTCGGTGTAAGGCCCCTTTGCAACATGTGGTGTTTTAGTAGAGGGTCCTCCTGTTAGTTCTCACAAGCCTGAGGAGTCCACATAGCCCAACCATCTGCCACGAGGAAGCTGGTGGGACTGAGACCCGCAGGCTCAGCGCTTGGGTCTGGTACTGACCGTAACTAATGTGATATCTAAGGACTTTATCCTTGGGACTGTTTGATTTTACATCTATCAAAGCCATATCATGAAATGGTAATATTATAAAGATACCAAGGGAAAACTTACGGGAATGCATGAGTCCTCCTGACACCTGAGCAGGTGGAGGACCAGCTACATCCCCAGCTTCACAGAATCCCTGAATTCACTGTTCCAGTCAAGAGGCCACTTCTGGATACCAGAACAGAAGATATTTCTATTATATACCTGTACAACATATAGTATAGATTCCTGGTCAGCGTGCTTATTGCAATGAAAGAAAAAGAAAGAATTAAAATCTGAGGGCTTCCAAGCCAGAGCTTGATCTTTCCAATCACAGCAAACTGGTTGCGACATTTTGGTATACATTCTGAATCATTTGTTTTGCTCATGTTTTGACTCTGCAAAACTAAGGATAAAAAAGGAAAGATTAACATGCTTTGCTATGCGGGTGCTGAATTGGCTTTACGTGTTCAGAACTGCTGAAAGATAAACTCAAGCACATTAAAATTTTAACAAGTTTATTTGAGCTTTCCATGATTCATGAATCAGGCATTGACCACAAGACCACAAGCAGGTCAGCTCTTCCAGGGCTGGAGGGGTTGGGGGAGGATGGAATCCTTCTTCCGGGAAGCAGGATAAAGTAGATGCCTTCTGTTAGTTAAAGTAGAAGGCTCCTAGTCCGAGGTTAGCTAGAGGTAGTTGGTGGTCCCTGATGGGTTGAGTTACAGCTTCCCTTCACAGTCTCACTGAGTGGGGTGTCAGTCTGCTTGCTAGAAACC